ATGGCAAAACATTGGTGACGGCCATTACTCATCGCCAATGTTTGTATTGGTGACGGATGCTAAATCCGTCGCCAATACCCCGTTGCCAATGCTCTGTTTTCTACTAGTGAATGTAAAAATAGGACCAATTATAATGTTAAAAGTACATTAATTATTAGTTACATAGTCATTTTAGAGGACTGTAATCTCTTCTTAAATTTGGGATATCCGAAATTTGAAGGTTAAACAAAAGTTACTGGCACTTCACAAACACCGTGATTTTTTTTTTTTTAACATTTAATTTAGATGCTGGAACATTAGGTCATGTGGATCAACCTTTTATGTTTACATCTTACTGAAAACATTCCTGATGTTTGTGTGCATATAAGATAAATCTTTTAGTAGTGAACATGATTCGTAATGCACGTGCAGTTCTGGACAGTTATGTATCGGCGATATATCAGGAATATTTAGTGGATTTGCTCTTTGTTACTGTTTTCTTGCAGGAAGAAGTAAAATTGAATATGAGTACTGCAGGATGACAGTAGTCAGTAGCCAGGAACAAATCTGCTGCTATAAGGTATACTTAATGTGTAAAATGGTCTTCAAATTCACCAGATGATCTCGAGTAAAAGCAAGAAACATGTTTGACCGTCGGTTGACCATTTTCGTCACTCAAGGATGCAGAAAGGACAGCTAGTGATTACATTAGATTAGATCAAATTAAGATACAGTTAGTATTGGAATAAGATGGAGAAAGGGCGCGACATTATTATGATAGAATTAAACCTCCCTTTTTCTTTTGAATTTTGAGAGACAAAAGGAATAGAAGTGCATATTCACTCAAGGGCATCTATCTGTGAAAATAAAATTAGGTGTAGCAAATTCAAAAGAGGGATATTACCTGCACTTAAATAATAAAAGTATTAGCTATTAGGGAGTACTAGCTAATTACATGCGACACTTAGCTATGCATAGGTGAGAAGTTTAAACCCTGATTGCACCCTATCAAACTTAGAATGTGCAGTGATAGATTCAAACATAATCATCATCGATGCTACTAACAGCTTGCGCGTGACTATGAAATGATATAGAACGTGAAGATGCAAATCGTGCTCTTGTAATTAACCGCTACATATGATGGTAGCTGAGCATGTTAGTTGTTAGCGGTAGTAATTATAAAGACCCTACTCTACTCCTGTGTACTATCACTATTGTAGCATTATGTACCATTATGTATGATGGTAACTGAACATGTTAGTTGTTAGCGGTAGCAATGCACCGGTAGATGGTATACAAGTGCTGTTTACACTAGAGCCACATTTTAATGTGTATCGTCACCAAAATGTTCTCACGCGAAAAAGACCGACGCTGACACTGCTAACTCTAACCCTGATCCTCAAAAGGGCCAGTCCAGATGCATCCAACGACATGAACAATCAGCGGGCTCTTACGATTTTTGAAGCTCTACCATCTTTATGAATCAGGAAACACAGGCTCAATGACGATGCAGAACACGTATAAAACCTCTCTAACACCGAAGCAACGATCACGAGGCACATCAACAACAACAGAAACAGTTAGGCTTTCAGTTGCCGTTATTCCGTTTAGAAAGGGCCGTTGCAAATTGCAAGTTTCTACTACAACCACAATAAATGTTTAGTATTCTCTACCATTTGGGTTATATGGGTCGGGGAACCCGTTTAATAAACGGGTCGGATCGCATTGACCCATTTATTAAACGGGTCGGGTCAAATTTTATATGGGTCGGGTCGGGTCGGGTCGACCCATTTGCCACCCCAAGCTGCAATGCAGTAAGAAATTACACTGGTGTTTCAAAGACAAATTTATTCTTGGCCCTGAGATCCAGTTAGTCTTTGTTCTGATGTCTTCTCTTCTCTGTCTGTTAAATACTGAGAGTGACACAGAAATACTGAGAGTGACACAGGAGATTGAGGTCTTTCTAGCTGTGACCCCAATTATCTCAACAAAATAGCATCTAGATGATTGATTGACTTTGTTAGATGATTGTAAATTACATTACTGGCAACGTCACTATATTGATTATTTTGAAAGTGCAAAGTTTATAAACTATTCAAGAAAACTTGCACATTATTCCAAGAGGGATCTGGTCTTCAATCAATTATTTTGAAAGTGCAAAGTTTATAAACTATTCAAGAAACCTTGCACATTATTCCAAGAGGGATCTGGTCTTCAATCATTGAGTGTCTCTGGTTGGCTTATCCGTCACTATATACCAAAACAACCTTGCAGAATTTACAGGTGACGATTGTTTTATCAATTTCGTTATATTTGCGCTCGATAGGAACTTATTGGCATTTGAAAGTTTTGTTTCGGAAGTCTTTAATATTGCAAATAAATAAAAGAGGCAAACAATAATTGACATGGAATTGTGATACTAGTCTTCAGAGGCATTGAATATTTGCTCCATCTTTGACCCTTTTAGCTCTTTATCATGAGACAACAGCCCCTGTGCGCTCATGTGAGCTAAAAGCTGCTCATCTATAGAATCTTGAAGGAGCTGCCAAGCTGCCTAGACAAAATGAGTCTACGTCATAGAACAAGGAATCTACCTCAGCTTCATTGTGACTTTAGATGAAACTTGAAAGACAATTTGTATACATTTCTTTTAAATGCAGCCTTTAAATCATCATAATTTCTCTTTTAAGATTCAAGTTATACATACTCATCCCTCATTTTACCTGTTGTGATCTTTAAAAAAAGTTGAATTTTTATAGCACGTCAAAATAATTTTTTTTTTATAGATGATTGAACTATCCCTAGTTTAGTTGATTATTAAAATATTGTTATATTATTAAAATAATTAATAATCATTTTAACTTAATTAAGTTAACTAAGAGTAGTTTAGGACTTGATCATTTCTCTAAAAAGCAATCATTTTAATAAAATATTCAATTTTAATCTTTAAAACTAGGAGTAGTTTAGGACTTGGTCATTTCTTTAAAAAAAAGGAATCATTTTAATAAAATATTTAATTTCAATATTTAGAAGTTAAGGTAAGGGGTAAAACTAAATGGTGACTAGTTGACTACAATTCACGGATCCATAGAACTATGGTGATTTGGAAGGTCGTTTAAAAAAAAAAAAAATCCACAAGCGTCTCGCTACAAAAGAGATGAAACTTCATCGTAGATTTCCTTATAACCTACCCCAAAAATTATTGTCTCCTGTTGGTTTCAATATAATTGACATTAAGTTTATTTATTTATTTATTTAATATCCACATTCGGAAAGTTTCTTAGGAGCCTCCCTTTCTATTATCACATTGTTAGTGCCCCATGGTCTGCAGCCACCATTTGAGACGTTGGTCCATGATAATGACAGTGAACCTATCGACTAGCATCAGCAAAATACATACACAGACAAATCAACAAATGAGCAACACACGCTATTTGGTGCATTCCCATTCCCATACCGAACTTTTCCTGGGATAACGCCAGAACCCCCAACAAGTGCTGTGCTTTCTCACACAAATAGGATTCAAAAGCTTAGGTAGGCACTTAAAGTTTAGGTAAAATTCACAAAGCCCCAAAATTCAGGTAAATTTCACAAAGCCCCACAAATTTTTGGGGGCTTTGCAGTTCATAAAGGCAATTACTAAATACTAGTAGTGTTCAGCAATAGCTGCAGGCATCACAAAGTTATAAAGTCAGTTAAAACAAATTTGCCAAAAAAAACTGTACATTCCAATTCGATCATTTAACTTGCGGACAGTGGATACGCAATAAAGAGAATGTGTTAAAAAAATGGAGAAATTTTATTTAGAACACTAAAGATCCATCTGAATTACATGAACCTCAATGCGATTTTCATCATCAAACAAAAGAATTATCGATCACAATGTCTCACTTGAACTTTGAGGATCTCTTTGGTGTTTAGAGTGTGATCTCGATCATCTCAAGGTCAATCTAAAACATAACGTGTCAGTGACATTCAAGAAATCTTGGCCAATTGCTTGATACACGGATGTTAAAGTCGTTTGATCGAAGATATAAGCAGTCCTCTTGTTCGGCCAGGAGCACCTCCTTTGAGTGAGGATACATCAAGTTCAAACCTATGGGTAGATAAAATCATGGATGAGTTTGAAAATTCTTAATTATAAACTAATGAAATTGTTAATGGTACAAAATTAGAATGTATTACATATCAGGCGTCGAATTTTTGGATTGGCTACCATTGCAGTTGATTTGAATCATCGCATCTTTCCTGGATATCGAGTGATTGAGAGGAACTATGAAGTTCTCAATAACTGCATGATATTAAGAAATTTTCAGTCCAAAATAAAGGAGAAAGTGTATAAATATTGATCGTCTTGCAATTGAAATAAGGGTTAATTGCGAATAGACACCCTATATTATCGTCAAATGCGCTCTATATTATCGTCAAATGCATATAGTCCCCCTATTTCTATTGTTGCAGACAGACGCCTGGATTATCAATGTCGTTAGTCTTCTCGTTTGAACTAGTTCTATGTAATGACATTATGCAAGTTAATAGTAAGTAAATCAGTTTATGAAGCTCATATGTTTCAGATCATGAAGCCTAATCTTAACGTCAAACTAATGGAGTTGAGAATGTAAGGGGTATATTTGCAACAACAGATGGTACAGGGATTATATACGCAATTAACGCTTTGAAAAAAATGGAAGAAATGATGAATCATACTCCACTTGAAGGTAACTGACATGGGAGAAATTTATTTATTAATTTTTTCCCCAAACATAGACTCAACGAAATTTTCAGGAGTACAAGTTACCTGGTTCATAAGAAGCATCAGGGATCTCATCTAGAGCAAGTAACTTCTGCATGAAATATAAGTTCTATTAGACCATGTTTTGCAATATAACTAGTATTTAGTTAGGAAACGGCTGCTGTTTTTTGTATATAAATAACCAAAAAAAGGCACCTTCAGATTCTGATAGCATGTTTCGAGATCATCATTAACCAAAATATGATCAAAAAGGCCAGGAGTTCTCCCTTGCTCAATTTCAGCTTTTGCATTTCTCAACCTCTTCTGAACTTGTTCCTCAGTCTCTGTTCCCCTACATAAAGCAAGTAACATATGCTTCTTTAACACTTATAAAAACAAAGGCATCCCATATTGCATAGTATTAAAAAAATGCTTATATACCGAGCACGAAGGCGTTTCTCAAGCTCATCAAATGATGGGGGAGAGATAAAGATAAAAATCGCTTCAAGAGAGCTAGCCCTCACTGATCTAGCACCCTGAACATCTATGTCGAGAATACATCTCTACAATAAACAAGTTGAAGATAAAATCTTCAATCTAGCAATTTTTCTACTACACAAAATTCTTATAGAAATAGAGCATATTTGAATTTACCTTCCCAACATCTGTTACAGTTTCAACTGCCTCAATGCTCGTTCCATAAAGATTTCCATGAACCGATGCCGATTCAAGAAATTTCCCCTCCCTTATATCTTTCTCCATTAGGCTTCGTTCAGTGAAGTAGTAGTGAACTCCATTAAGCTCCTTCTCTCTTGGAGCTCTGGTAGTGTGGCTTATTGAAAAGCCAAAGGCTGAGGGGTACTCCTTCATTAGTTTGGATATAAGAGTTCCCTTGCCAACTCCAGAGGGACCACTAATTACTATTGGCTTTAGGCCATGTTCTCTCACTCCTTTACTCCAAGCTACCACCTCGGTGCCAAGTAGCTTCTTTTGATCTTTTACATAAGGAGTATCCACCTAAAAAAATAACCCCAGTGTAAGAGTCAGGCATAAGAGGTAAGAAATCTTAATAAGAATCAGATCTAAACCCTACTAAATATGCAAACTTAACATTGTCAAGTGAATAATTAGCTGACTATATTTTTTGCGTAGGGTTAGTTGAACATAGACCCCCTGTAGTATCACAGTTTTGAACTTACGACCCCTATAGTTTCATTTTTGCAGATAGACTTCATCTATGTTATTTCATATGTTACATATTATGCATCAGATGAATAACTCTTGAACCCATGCCCTTAAGACCCTTTAGGACTCATCTTCGACATACCCGCTTTAAAGTATATTCACAAATCATATATTCTCATTATGACCAATTTGTCCTGGTGTAAATCAGATCAAGCAAATAACTAAAAAAGATGATCACTCTTTGGCTTATATTGTAATTCAAGATGAAAATATGATGAAGACTAAAAACCTCAAGAAACCAGGCACCGTCGCTCGCAGAGGACTCCCTCTTAAGGATCAAGATCTGATTTTTTTTAAGAAGAACAGCTGAGTGGCCTTTAGATAGAATGGGTTTGGTACCCAATACAGTAGGAACAGACCTGCCAATTTCAATGAAAAGTAAATAAACAAACACTAATCGCTAACTAGTAAAGGAGCAGCAGAGAGTATGGCAACGAATCTCTCACCATTTGCCCGTCAACTTATCAAAGATTTTGACACCAACCAATGAGTCAGCAGATTTCTCAGATCCTCCAACTACATACTGAACAAAAAGCGTATAATCAGTTAGATCTTGCGAAATATTTGTTTACATAATGTAGCATAACAATAGAGTTATATCTATCACATGAACTTACAATCTTATCACCGATATCGGTCGCTGACTGATATCTATCTCTGCTATCTACAAGATATTCTGGAGCTTCTTCCCCCTAGAGATAATCAATTTAGGAAAAATCATTAGAATAAACCCACCCATCATATTAATCTTAACAAAAATACAGCCATATTTCTCAAGGATCAACTTACCATGAAGCTATAAAAGATTCCTGCCTGTCTTAATCAAGCTCCAAATTCTGAACATGAAAAAATTGTGTAAAATACAATTAATACAAAGAATCAAAAGCAATGGCTTTAAAAAAAAGCAGGGTAAAATCTCAGATACCAAATTAATAAATGTATTCTACTACAGTATAAAATCTTCAACCAAGATCCAATGCAAACGTTGTAAATCTCTCTAATCTACATCTTTTTAAGTACCAATCAAAATCCCATGTCTAAACGTAGATGGCATCGACATAACAAAAACCCATCAGCAAAATCCCCACAAAAAAATCACCTATTTATGTTAAAAACAAAATGAACCACACCAAAGATGCAATTTTCACTACAGGAACAAGAATCAAAAGGGAAACCCACCTCAATTCCCGTAAAAACTCTGGCCTCCAATACACGTTTCAACGCTGAAATATGAAATCAATGGAATAACGGCAAGAAAATTGCCAAAATGATGAGGGTCCCCAGAGGAGAGAACTTAAGATAGTAAACCCTTTTTGGGTCTTTATAATAGAAACCCAGGTATATAAAAATAAGAACAAAGTAGATCAGATCAAATCAATGAAATAGAAAGAGCTAGATTTCTATTGGGTTTTATTGTTGATTTGCACTCGAAAGGCCTTACCCTTTTTTATAGAGGAGGAAGGCTCTTTACTGAATCGGAGAAATAAACCCTAAAATTGAACCGGTCTCGTTGTTTCAAGGTTTGGTGGGCAAGCGGTAGGGGTGTCCAAAAAGCCCGGAGCACGGGCCCGGCCCGATCGTGCCCGGGCCCGGGCCCGGCCCGGGCCCGGAAACCCGGGCAAAACCCGGGTCCGGGCCCGGGCCCGGGTCGCCGTACCGTTTTGCCCCTTAAAACGGTCAAAAAACGGCTATTTTTCGAGGGTTTTTTGGTCATTTACCTAGGGGGCTGCTTCTATAAATAGAGGGGGGGTTTCAATTCATTTTCTCACAACAAAACTCATCTATTTCTCTCTCTACTACTCTCTTATACAATCTTATACTATCTCATACTAATATACTATCCTATAATCTTTTGTATTTTCTAATACTTCCAACAAATGGCTTCTGGGTCTGATTATGAAGAGCAACATGCAACTCCTACCGATCCAGAGATGAGTCCTCCTACAACAACTCCTCATCCTACCGGTGTTAATCCTGAATCTGGTGGCGACGAATCTACGGCACCAAGAGCTCCAAAAAGGCCGAGGTCTGATGTATGGAATTTTTTTGAGAAGATAGACGTCACCAAGGATGAACACGGTAGGATCATCTCTCAGAATGCGAAATGTGCGTTGTGCGGCCAGATATTCAAAGCTCATCATAAGAGCGGCACCAACCATCTCAAACGGCATATTGAAAAACACAACAAAGGCCAAAATCTACAAGGTGATATCCGGCAGTCTATGCTTTCCCAATCATCCTCTTCAGGTACCCTCGGCAGTTGGAATTATGACGCTGCCCGAGCCCGGAAATGCGTAATCAGGTTTATTGTTCTTAAAAACCTTCCTTTTAAATTAGTAGAAGATGATGAATTTGAAGATTTATTTAGAGATGGTTTTTATCCTGCATTTACAAAATTTTCTCGTCAAACCTGTCAACGTGATATTTTAAAATATTATGTTGAGGAACAGGGAAAAATAATTTCTTATTTTAAAAATTTAAACTGCAAATTTTCTTTAACTTCTGATATTTGGTCATCTAGAGTGCAAACTGGTTATTTATGTATAACAGCACACTGGATTGATGAAAGTTGGAAAATGTTTAAAAGAGTTGTTTCTTTTATTGCAATTGAAGAGTCACACACTGGTATTAATGTTGCAAATTTAATTGTTGAAGAACTTATGAAACTAGAAATTGATCAAAGAATATTTACTCTTTCACTAGATAATGCAAGTAATAATAATGTAGCTGTTGATTTTCTGAAAATAACTTTGTCATTGCCATGTCATGGTGAGCTTTTTCATGTTAGATGTATCTGTCATATTTTAAATTTAATTGTTCAAAGTGCATTTTCTGAAATTAAACCCATGATAGAAAAAGTTAGAACAGTTACTAATATGCATAATGCTTCTGAAATGAGAATTAAAAGATGGAAACAATGTTGTAAAAGAAAAAATTATAAGCCTAGACTAATTCCAAAAGATGTTGACCATAGGTGGAATTCCACCTATGCAATGTTATCTGTAGCAATAGAATATAAAGAAATTATAAATGATTTTATAAATTTTTATGCTTCTAGTTCTAGCTCTGGTAGTGCTTATGGAATAACTGAAGATGAATGGACAGTTATATGTAAATTAAATGAGATGTTACAAGTTTTTTATGATGCTACTATGTTATTATCTGGTTGTTATTATCCAACTATTACTTTAGCTGCTTTACAAATTTTAAATATTCAAAATTTTTTTACAAAATATCGTATGGATGATATTTTTGGAAGTATAATTTTTGAAATGGAGAGTAAATTTAATAAGTATTTTAGGCCTATTCCTCATATTTTTGGTATTGGTGTTCTTATTGATCCATGCTTGAAGGAAATTGGCCTTCGAAGTTTGTTACAATCATTGTATGGTGGACAGATTATAGACTTAGATGATGGATCCACCCTTACTGCTACTACTCATTATTTAGCTATTAGAAATTATTTTCAAACCTTATATGATGAGTATGCAGCTAGATATGGTGTAGCTACACAACAGTCTTCAGCTTCGGCACCTTCAGCTTCGAGCACAGGTCGAGGTAAAAGTGTAAGTTTTGATAGGTATGCAATGGTAGCTGAACTAACTGGTGGATCTGGAACTTCATCAGGATTAGATGTTTCTGAAATAGATGAATATTTTTCTGCTTCTTTAGTTAGATGTCAAGGAAATGCTTTAGATATTTTGCAATGGTGGAAAGTATATGGATCAGTTTCATATCCTATACTTTCCACCATGGTTCGTGACTTACTATCAGTGCAGGTTTCGACTGTAGCCTCGGAATCCGCTTTCAGCACAGCAGGACGTTTGATCGACGACCACAGGACATGCTTAGATCCGTATACTGTACAAGCGGTGATGTGCTTACAGGATTGGTGGAGATACGAGAAGCGAACACAAGGCATCGAACGGATTGCTATGATTGAAGATAAATTTGAAGAGTTAGGACTAGCAGATAGATATAATGATTAGATAATATTCATAAAATTGTAATTTTGTTTTCTTAGCTTTAAATTTGAATTAAATTATTTCGAAAAAAGTTGCAAATGATAGTGATATGGGTGAGTAGGTGCCAACCTAGTTGGGATGTACTCATCTATTGTGATGCGACGAATTTCGAAATAAATTTATACTTGTAAAGGATTTGTAAAGGATTTACCGATTATTAATAAAGAAATTATTTTTATCATTTTTTGTACTTGTAATTTATGTCATTTCATTTCAAGCTATTAATTAAATTTATGACATTTTTTATAATAATTTATGGTTTATGGTTTTGTTAAAATTTAAAAAAAAATTTCTAAAAAAAAAATCAAACCGGGCCGGCCCGGATGGACAGCCCTAGCAAGCGGTCTATTATTTATTTTTTTATTTTCATTTGCCTTTTTTTATGACTAATTAAAGAAAGTGTACCCATATTTCTTGTATGATATTCATTTGTAGACAAATCCTTGTAGAAGTAGTATTTAGTTATGATTACATGAATTTTAGTTTTTGTCTTTATCTAGTTATGCAAATTTAGTATACTATGGATTGTTTTTAAAAAAAGGAAAATAAAACTAAAACGGTGATTAAAGACCACATGAAATTAATGTATATTTTTTAAAGAAATAAAAATGAATACAATAATTTGAACAATTTTTCGCAGTTTGGATGATAGAAAATTCCTGCAAAAGTTTAGTTGGAGCATATCATAAAATACATAAATTCTAATGATCTAGAAAAACTAAGATAACATGAGAGAATATGCAATCCATGTTAGCATGTGTTGTGCACTAGAATATAAGATAATTAGAAGGAAAAAAAATTTGGGTTAATATACCTATATCATGGATACCGAAAGAATAAATGAAACAGTTAAGCGGCATTTCCATCCTGAATATGTCTTGGAATGGATAAATGCAACAAATAAAAACCTAGGGAGGAGACACCTAGAAACCATAAAGCCTTTTCCAGTTATCATATGCGGTATTGCAACGCTAGTGTCATGCATATTTGTGTCGACAAAATAGTATACCAATACAACTTGAAGAAGAGGGAGAGTTGGAAACAGATCTAGGAATAGAAAGAGACATAAGGGTACATTTACAAATACAATTCATACCTCTTTAGTATTAACTATTTTGTGTACATCAATCAAAACCTCGTAAAAGTTAGAGGGGAGACTGAATTAACATTCGAAATGTGAGTATGTAGCTAAAATCACAATGGAGTCTTTGTTTACATGCAGTTAGACCCACCTCTTTGTTTTCTTTCTTTCTCGGTTGTTTAATAGAGTGGTGGATGAAAGAGGAGAGTTTGACGGGGCAAGCTTTTAGCCGACGTCCTTGGACCGCACGCTCAGTGGACCCGGCCCAAGTTGGAGCATGGGCAAGGAAAAGTCCACCTCGAATTCAAGTGGAAGTGATTGGAACAGTACTAATTGAAAGGACTTTTTGGTATTTTCTACAGAAAAAAATTAATGAAGGACAAGCGCAGAGATTTTTATTTTTAGGAAAAAAATATGTAAGGCCCTAAAAACAAAGATGTCATATGGCCCTCCAAAAATATATGTAAGCAGTCATTTATGATGCAGCCGATTTGATGAATAGATATTGATATTTGGTTGCTCTGGTATCGGCTCAGTTTTGAGGAAACTTCACCGAGGTGGAGAATTGTGAACGTGAGGGGGGGGGACCACGTGAATGAAGGACGTGGTTTTGTTTCCGCGTGAGGATTTGTTTCCGCGTGAGAAGATTGCGGGCCAAACAGACTATAAATATCATTGAATTTTTTAGGGCTTTGTGCAAAAGGGTTTGGATGCAAGTACGAAAGCGTGCAAGGATTTTTGAGGTTGTGGAGAAAAAGCAAAAGGAGAGTTTGTCCAGGAGTAAGTCGGCGGAGAAACAGAGACTCCTTTTGCTGTTTTGAGAGAAAAATTGAGATCTTGTTTGAGGGTTTAATTTGTGAGACTTTGTGTGATTGTAAACCCTATTTGTATTCTCTTTGTCTCTAGTAGTAGATCTCCCCCTTCCTTACCCTTTGGATGTAGGCAAATTGCCGAACCATGTAAAATTGGTTGTCTCGCTTTTGTGTGATTTGTAATAGCTTATTTAGGTTCCCTCGATAGGTCAGTCCTAGAACTGATGAGAGGAAGAGCCGATATCCCACTTTGTTGAGATATTTTGCTTAAGGTTCTTGTTTCCTTTGTGAAACATGAATTCCTATTGCGACCTGACTCTCTTGTTGTGCTGTCGAGGTGCTGCCGAAATTTTCGCTGCGCGCAATAATTATCATAGCGAAAATAATGAGAAAATAGGTTATGAAATTAAGAGCCTTCATACTCCATAATCATAATCATAAAAACCATTTTAACTAATTCATCTTCCTAATACCATTATAGATCACAATTAATCTCTTACAAAATGAATACAACCAATCTCTTAGAAGCTAACTTGACATAT